TTTCTCAGGTAGTTGCCCAGTTTCAAGGGATGTGTTGAAGATTGTGGTTAGAGGCACTCACAGCATCTCTGCTCCTTCTCTTAGGACCCATGGGGAGATGTTGTCCGGTCCCATCGCCTTTGAGGTATCAAGGTCACTTAGCAGCTTCTGCACCTCCTCCTCGGTTGTTCGTATATCATCCAACACTTGTTGGTATATTCCCTCTTGATGTTCCCTTCTGTGCTGTCTTCCCAGAGCCCTTCCTGTCTCTACTGTAAAAACTTCCTTAAATCTCCTGTTTAGCTCCTCACATAACTCCTGATCATTTCTTGTGAGTTCTCCACCTTCTGTCCTCAATCTGATCACCTGGTCTTTGACTGTTGTCTTCCTTCTGATGTGGCTATAACAACAGTTTCGGGTCAGTCTTGATTTTCGATGCTATGTCATTTTCATACTGTCGCTGGGCCTCCCTCCTTACCTGTGCGTACTCGTTCCTGGCTCTGCGTGTACGTTGGTGTGTGTGTGTGTGTATGTGGGCGGGTGTGTGCACGTTGGTGTGTGTGTGTGTGTGTGTGTGTGTGTGTGTACTCACCTAATTCACCTAATTGTGGTTACAGGGGTCGAGACTCAGCTCCTGGCCCCGCCTCTTCACTGATTGCTACTAGGTCCTCTCTCTCTCTCTCTGCTTCCTGAGCTTTATCATACCTCTTCTTAAAACTATGTATGGTTCCTGCCTCCACTACTTCACTTGCTAGGCTATTCCACTTCCTGACGACTCTATGACTGAAGAAATACTTCCTAATGTCCCTGTGACTCGTCTGAGTCTTCAGCTTCCAGATGTGACCCCTTGTTCCTGTGTCCCCTCTCTGGAACATCCTATCTCTGTCCACCTTGTCTATTCCCCGCAGTATCTTGTATGTCGTTATCATGTCTCCCCTGACCCTTCTGTCCTCCAGTGTCGTCAGTCCGATTTCCCTCAACCTTTCCTCGTAGGACATTCCCCTGAGCTCTGGGACTAGCCTTGTTGCAAACCTTTGTACTTTCTGTAACTTCTTGACGTGCTTGACCAGGTGTGGGTTCCAGACTGGTGCTGCATACTCCAGTATGGGCCTAACATACACAGTGTACAGTGTCTTGAACGATTCCTTATTAAGGTATCGGAACGCTATTCTCAGGTTTGCCAGGCGCCCGTATGCTGCAGCGGTTATTTGGTTGATGTGTGCCTCCGGTGATGTGCTCGGTGTTATGGTCACCCCAAGGTCTTTCTCCCTGAGTGAGGTCTGTAGTCTTTGTCCACCTAGCCTATACTCTGTCTGCGGTCTTCTTTGCCCCTCCCCAATCTTCATGACTTTACATTTGGCAGGATTGAATTCGAGAAGCCAGTTTCTGGACCACATGTCCAGCCTCTCCAGGTCTCTTTGCAGTCCTGCCTCATCCTCATCCGATTTAATTCTGCTCATCAACTTCACATCATCTGCGAATAGGGACACTTCAGAGTCTTGTGTGTGTGTGTGTGTGTGTGTACTCACCTATTTGTACTCACCTATTTGTGGTTGTAGGGATCGATTCATAGCTCCTGGCCCCGCCTCTTCACTGATTGCTACTAGGTCCTCTCTCTCACTGCTCCATGAGCTTTATCATACCTCACCTTAAAACTATGTATGGTTTCCGCCTCCACTACTTCACTTTCTAGGCTATTCCACGGCTTGACTACTCTATGACTGAAGTAATACTTCCTAACATCCCTTTGATTCATCTGAGTCTTCAACTTCCAATTGTGACCTCTTGTGTCTGTGTCCCATCTCTGGAACATCCCGTCTTTGTCCACCTCGTATATTCCGCGCAGTATTTTATGTGTCGTTATCATGTCTCCCCTGAACCTCCTGGCCTCCAGTGCCGTCAGGCCGATTTCCTTCACCCTTTCTTCGTAGGACAATCCCCGTAGCTCTGGGACTAGTCTTGTTGCAAACCTTTTCACTTTCTCTAATTTCTTGACGTGCTTGACTAGGTGTGGATTCCAAACTGGTGCTGCATACTCCAGTATGGGCCTGACGTAAATGTTATACAGAGTCTTGAACGAATCCTTACTGAGGTATCGGAACGCTATCCATAGGTTTGCCAGGCGCCCGTATGCTGCAGCAGTTATCTGATTGATGTGCGCGTCGGGAGATATGCTCGGTGTTATACTCACCCCCAGATCTTTTTCCTTGAGAGGTTTGCAGACTTTGGCCGTCTAAACTATATTGTGTCTGCGGTCTTCTTTGCCCTTCCCCAATCTTCATGACTTTGCATTTGGCAGGGTTAAACTCAAGGAGCCAGTTGCTGGACCAGGCTTGTAGCCTGTCCAGGTCTCTTTGTAGTCCTGCCTGATCCTCATCCGATTTGATTCTTCTCATTAACTTCACATCGTCCGCAAACAAGGACACTTCTGAGTCTATCCCTTCCGTTATGTCATTCACATATACCAAGAACAGCACAGGTCCTAGGACTGACCCCTGTGGAACCCCGCTTGTTACAGGCGCCCACTCTGACACCTCGTCACGTACCATGACTCGTTGTTGCCTCCCTGTCAGGTATTCTCTGATCCATGCAGTACCTTTCCTGTTATGTGTGCCTGATCCTCTAGCTTTTGCAGTAACCTCTTGTGAGGAACTGTGTCGAAGGCCTTCTTGCAGTCCAAAAAAATGCAGTCGATCCACCCTTCTCTCTCTTGTCTTACTTCTGTCACCTTGTCATAAAACTCTAGTAGGTTTGTGACACAGGATTTTCCCTCCCTGAAACCATGCTGGTTGTCAATTATACACTTGTTTCTTTCCAGGTGCTCCACCACTCTCCTCCTGATGATCTTCTCCATGACCTTGCAAACTATACACGTTAGTGATACAGGTCTGTAGTTTAGTGCCTCATGTCTGTCTCCCTTTTTAAAAATTGGGACTACATTTGCCATCTTCCATACCTCGGGAGTTGCCCAGTTTCAAATGATGTGTTGAAGATCTTTGTTAACGGTACACACAATATCTCTGCTCCCTCTTTAAGGACCCATGGAGAGATGTTGTCTGGTCCCACCGCCTTTGAGGTGTCAAGTTCGCATAGCAGCTTCTTCACCTCCTCCTTGGTTATATGTACCTCATCCAGCACTTGCTGGTGCACCCCCCTGCTCTGATTTCCTGGAGTCCTACTGGTTTCCACTGTAAATACTTCTTTAAATCTTGTGTTGAGCTCCTGACATACCTCCCGGTCGTTTCTTGTGAATTCCCCATCACCCTTCCTCAGTCTGATTACCTGGTCCTTGACTGTTGTTTTCCTCCTGATGTGGCTGTACAACAGCTTCGGGTCAGTCTTGACTTTCGATGCTATGTCATTTCGTATTGCCGTGAGCCTCCCTTCTTATCTGTGCCTATTCGTTTCTGGCTCTTCGGCTAATCTCTTTATTTTCCTGAGTTCTCTGTCTTCTGTACCTTTTCCATTCTCTAGTACACCTAGTTTTTGCTCCCTACACCTTTGGGTGAACAAGGACTCGTTCTGTTCTTCCCATTATTTCTGTTTCTCTTGGGAACAAACCTCTCCTCTGCCTCCTTGCATTTTGTTGCCACATAGTCCATCATTTCTTGTACTGGTTTTCCTGTCAGTTCCCTCTCCCACTGAATGTCTTGAAAGAAGTTCCTCATGCCTGAGTAGTTCCCCCTTTTGTAGTTTGGTTTTTCCCACCCTATTCCTGCTGCTCTCTCCACTTGGAGCTCAACTATGTAGTCGAAGCACAGAACCACATGATCACTAGCTCCCATGGGCCTTTCATACATGATATCCTCGATGTCAGTACTAATCAAGGTGAATACAAGGCCCAGTCTTGCTGGTTCATCCTCTCCTCTCTCTCTGGTAGTGTCTTTAACATGTTGATGCATGAGGTTTTCCAGTACCACATCCATCATCTTGGCTCTCCATGTTTTGGGACCCCCATGGAGCTCCAGGTTTTCCCAGTCAATCTCCTTGTGATTGAAATCACCCATATCTAGTAACTTTGCTTCCCCCATGTGTGCTCTCCTGGCCACCTCGGCTAGTGTGTCGACCATTGCTCTGTTGCTCTCATCGTATTCTTCTCTTGGCCTCCTGCAGTTCTGTGGTGGGTTGTACATTACTGCAATTATCACCTTAAGTCCTTCAGACTGGATTGTTCCTACTAAGTAGTCCCTTTCGCCCGTGCCATCCATTCCTTCCATTTTCTCAAACCCCCACTGGTTTTTAATGAGTAGTGCAACTCCTCCTCCCCCTCTCCTCCCTATGTCTTTCCTGAGGATTTGATATCCGGATGGAAAGATTGAATCTGTTATTATTCTGGTGAGTTTTGTTTCTGTGAGTGCTATTATGTCTGGGGATGTCTCCTTGATTCTTTCGTGCCACTCCTCATACTTGTTTGTTATTCCATCTGCATTTGTATACCACACCTTCAACTTCTTTTCTAAGATTGTGGTCTGGGAGGTGTATTGGGGTTGGGGAAGTGGGAGACCTGGTAAGGAACTGTGGGTGGTTGCTGTGGGGGTGGAGTTTGTAATGTAGTGGGTGGGGGCATTGGATGTGGCATGGGTGTTTTGATTTAGAGTGTTTGGTTGCACTGGGGTTGACCTGGTTGGGAGGCTTCTATAGGAAGTTGTGAGGGAGGCTGTATTTGATCTTCCTGTGTCTGGGATCTCCTGTCTGTCTTCTCCATCCCCTCTCTTTCCTCCTTTCGCCTTTGTACCATCTCTCTCTGTTTCTGCCTTTCTGCTTGTGTTCTGTCACGTGTTCTGTGTGTGTGTGTGTGTGTGTTGTGTGTGTGTGTGTGTGTGTGTGGTGTGTGTGTGTGTGTGTGTGTGTGTGTGTGTGTGTGTGTGTGTGGCTTCATGATTACCTGGTCGCGTGTAAGTACGTGGCTAAGGTTAAGTATTGCTTTACAACAGAGAATAAAGTAATGTATTGGTCTACAACAAAGAATAAAGTAATGTATTGGTCTACAACAAAGAATAAATTAATGTATTGGTCTACAGGTTAAATGTTACTGACGCCCAGGAGAGCATGGAAGCTGAAGAGTTGGGTTTGTTATCAAGACGTGGGAGCCGTGGCGAGTTAATGGTTCCTCAGCCATATTGTCGTATCTACACACGCAACACCAAAGAGGTGAGAACGTAATGGAGAACTGTAGTAGGCCTGTTGGCCCATACTAGGCAGGTTCAACTTGCACCCACTCATGTACCTCTCCAGCCTGTCCTACCCAAAGTTCCCACTTTAAAGTGACTATACCTGGGTGTTAGTACTATCTACTAATTCATTTTCAAATATTGCTTCCTATATCCTTCATAACTCTAAATTTGTCCAAGTTGAATCCATTGCTGCGAGTCCTGTCTTGGTTACGTATTTTCAGCATTTTATTTACACGTATGCCTTTTACCAAAGATATATTTTCAACATTTTATACGTATCCCTTTTACGAAAGATATGCATATATGTATATTATTTATGCTTCTTAATGTGAACCTAAGCATTCAATTAGCCTTATTGCAAACACTTTTGTGCTGTTATCTTAGATTTAAATTTTTGCTAACATTCCTAATTCTTTAGATAAGGTAAGATAAGATTTCGTTCGGATTTTTAACCCCGGGGGGTTAGCCACCCAGGATAACCCAAGAAAGTCAGTGCGTCATCGAGGACTGTAACTTATTTCCATTGTGGTCCTTAATCTTGTCCCCCAGGATGCGACCCACACCAGTCGACTAACACCCAGGTACCTATTTGCTGCTAGGTGAACAGGACAACAGGTGTAAGGAAACGTGTCGAAATGTTTCCACCCGCCGGGAATCGAACCCGGGCCCTCCGTGTGTGAAGCGGGAGCTTTAGCCACCAGGCCACCGGGCCTGTGTAAGGTTCTTGATATAAAGAATTGGAGTTGCACTTAACTCTCCTTGGATCAAACCTAATTACCCCCCACACTGAGTAATATATGGTCACCCCCCTTGATTGCCTGAAATGGAACTATAATCATTTTTAAAGGGATATATAGAGGTAAGCCAGTGGAAGGCCTCAGATAACCGAAAGCTCCATCTACGGGTCATCATTTGGCTAAGGCCCACATCAGGAAACACTTGTCTTGATTCCTGACAGACCTTAACCTAACCTTGTCTGAGTGCTGGTGGTAAGGTTGTGACTAGCTCTCAGGTGATGACAGTTTGCTTATTGTCTTGAGGCAACCATGCAGCTCGTATGCCATGATAGGCCTCTAGAAATGTTCAGAATTGTACTACGAGTGAAGCCTGTATGGGATGCAGAAATGGTAAAGAGTAATCCAAATTTGAAGTGAATGGTTCATTACCTTTGTAACTTGTTCAGCTATCAAAACTTTAGGGTCCAGTCCCTGGACCCATTATGTACCTCTGTAATCTTTTTTGACTACTGCCCACAGGATGGGTATGGGGTGCATAATAAAGATATTAACCCTTAAACTGTCCAAACATAGAGCTACGTTTTTTTTTTTTACATTTGATTGCATGTAAAATAAAACGTAGATCTACGTTCAGAGCGCTACGCGAGTGAACGTAGATCTATGTTTGGACAGCTTAAGGGTTAAAGTAAATAAACTAAACGAAGGGCTCACTGTATCTTAAGGCTATCATAGGCATTTTTGTTTAATTCTTTGTTCTTTTACAGGTGGCTGGTTTTAATGGGTTGGGCGAGACATTAAAAAAATTGGACTTCATCAATGCTGTCCACGACATTAGACGATTCAGATACATATGCAAGTTGATGGACCTTCTCATTACCCAGAAGCTTTCAACTCTATCAGGTGGAGCACAAAAGGTTAAAACACTTAATATTTCTTAGAGAATTGAAAAAAACTATTGGATATGTCTCTGATAACAGTGAAACTCAAAAGTTTGTTGTGTAGGCTTGAGGTATCTTTGGAAAGAAAGTACATGCAGGTCCTTCTTATACAGCAGGTTAGGTTCCAGGCTACTGTAGGGCCCTGCTTATACAGCAGATTAGGTTACAGGCTACTGTAGGGCCCTGCTTATACAGCAGATTAGGTTACAGGCTACTGTAGGGCCCTGCTTCTACAGCAAGTTAGATTCTGGGCTACTGTAGGGCCCTGCTTCTACAGCAAGTTAGATTCTGGGCTACTGTAGGGCCCTGCTTATACAGCAAGTTAGATTCTGGGCTACTGTAGGGCCCTGCTTATACAGCAGGTTAGATTCTGGGTTACTGTAGGGCCCTGCTTATACAGCAGGTTAGATTCCGGGTTACTGTAGGGCCCTGCTTATACAGCAGGTTAGATTCCAGGCTACTGCTGTAAAGTGAAACATAACCCTGTTTTCACTATCAAACGCATAATAAAAGCCTGATAACATGTTCACACTATCATATATTAAGTGAGCAGTATAGTAGGCCTAAAAAGTTCATATACAGTACACACATTACTTAACTTAAAACATTTTTGTCCTTGGCTTATACTGACTGGTGAATATATTTATTGTAGGAAGTCTGAATAAATGAAGAATGTGTGTAACTGAAAATGCTGCATTAGTGAAGCGCTGTAAAGTGAAGCACTGTAAAATGAAGCACTGTAAAGTGAAGCACTGTAAAGTGAAGTGCTGTAAAGTAAAGCACTGTAAAGTGAAGCACTGTAAAGTGAAGCACTGTAAAGTGAAGCACTGTAAAATGAAGCACTGTAAAGTGAAGCACTGTAAAGTGAAGCACTGTAAAGTGAAGTGCTGTAAAGTGAAGCACTGTAAAGTGAAGCACTGTAAAATGAAGCACTGTAAAGTGAAGCACTGTAAAGTGAAGCACTGTAAAATGAAGCACTGTAAAGTGAAGCACTGTAAAGTGAAGCACTGTAAAGTGAAGCACTGTAAAATGAAGCACTGTAAAGTGAAGCACTGTAAAGTGAAGTGCTGTAAAGTGAAGCACTGTAAAGTGAAGCACTGTAAAATGAAGCACTGTAAAGTGAAGCACTGTAAAGTGAAGCGCTGTAAAGTGAAGTGCTGTAAAGTGAAGCACTGTAAAGTGAAGCACTGTAAAGTGAAGTGCTGTAAAGTGAAGTGCTGTAAAGTGAAGCACTGTAAAGTGAAGCACTGTAAAGTGAAGCACTGTAAAGTGAAGCACTGTAAAGTGAAGCGCTGTAAAGTGAAGCACTGTAAAGTGAAGCGCTGTAAAGTGAAGTGCTGTAAAGTGAAGCGCTGTAAAGTGAAGCACTGTAAAGTGAAGCACTGTAAAGTGAAGTGCTGTAAAGTGAAGCACTGTAAAGTGAAGCACTGTAAAGTGAAGCACTGTAAAGTGAAGTGCTGTAAAGTGAAGCACTGTAAAGTGAAGCACTGTAAAGTGAAGCGCTGTAAAGTGAAGCGCTGTAAAGTGAAGCACTGTAAAGTGAAGCACTGTAAAGTGAAGCACTGTAAAGTGAAGCGCTGTAAAGTGAAGCACTGTAAAGTGAAGTGCTGTAAAGTGAAGCACTGTAAAGTGAAGCACTGTAAAGTGAAGCGCTGTAAAGTGAAGCACTGTAAAGTGAAGCACTGTAAAGTGAAGCACTGTAAAGTGAAGCACTGTAAAGTGAAGCACTGTAAAGTGAAGCACTGTAAAGTGAAGCGCTGTAAAGTGAAGCACTGTAAAGTGAAGCGCTGTAAAGTGAAGTGCTGTAAAGTGAAGCACTGTAAAGTGAAGCACTGTAAAGTGAAGCACTGTAAAGTGAAGCACTGTAAAGTGAAGCACTGTAAAGTGAAGCACTGTAAAGCGGAGCTGCCTCTTCAGTAAGAATGTAACATACATTTTCAGGCTTGTGAAAATGGAATATTTTTATTTTTATTAACACATCGGCTGTGTTGAGAAATGGCATTACCAGCTAAGTTTAAACAGTGAACACTTAACTTAAAGACAACTCATCGCCTGCACAGCCGCCCCTGCAGACGAGGTCTAGAAGCTGTCGAAACCATCTCAACATGGGCTGTCAAGAAATATAATTTGTAAGATTATAAATTACCCCTAGGGGGTGTTATGTCAGCATATTTCATTCACTGATGGCTGACAAAATACCTACTTGTGTGGACTCAATGGTCCGCATATCACCGGGGTTTATTATAAGTGACTAACTCACGACTTTATACTCAACTGCGCAGTCAATAGTAGTACATCACGAGTTAGAACACTTACCTGGGTATATTTATCTGACCCGTAATTATGCCCAGATATCCGTTGAGTTGATTGAAGAATAGTGTTCTTTGAAGAATGTCGCACTACACTCTGTTGGATCGCAACACTCGTTGTTACACTGTTCATCAACAATTGTTCACACAATATCACTAAGAAGTTGATCACACTTCTCTGTAAGTGTTTATCGTGTTTTGTGAGACACTTTGTCCACACTAACGCACAGATCAGTGTTCTTTGTTGGTTATCCTGGTGTCAGTGTCACTCTCAGTAGAGTCAAAAGTAATCTGAAGATGCCACAGCACCCCACGCCGTTGCTCCCCTAGCACAAAAAAAAGCTGACCTAGTACTTTTTGCTTCCTTGCCACTTCCTCGATGAAGCAAAGCAGAATGTTTGATTCTTGCTGTCTTAAGCATAGACAACAATGTCCACTATCTTTACTATGGTAATAAAGTGGGAGCAGGATTTTCCTTAATTGTCCTGCTAAAGTAAGAGATGTACTGTCTCTTATAAAAATACACTTTGCAACACTGGACTGCAAGGAGCAGAGGTCATTTGACCACGCATACTCGTACAGCATCTGTGATCAATTACTCACAGTAGCAGTAAACAAGATATTTGCCCCTTCTGAGAGGGCTGGGCCCCTCAGGGCTGAAAGGGGCTGAAGGGGCTGAAGGGGGCTGATACCCCCCTCCTGGAGAAAATTTCTCCACAGGCTGTTTCCCACCAAGGTAGGGTGATCCGAAAAAGAAGAAATGCTTTTATCATTATTCACTCCATCACTGTCTTGCCAGAGGTGTGCCAACACTACAGTTCAAAAAGTATAACATATCCCCACGTCTCCTTCAGATCACAGGCATTGTAGTTCCCACCTCCAGGACTCAAGTCCAGTTAATCAGTTTCCCTGACTCCCTTCATAAATGTTACTTTGCTCACACTTACATAAAAATTAATTCCTTTGCAGATGCTATTCGGTATGTTGGAAGAGGTAGCATATGAGGTGACCAGCAGCCAACAGAACGTACATGTGCTTCAGCATCTCCTTCAAGAGCTACGAAAAAGATTAGAGGACTACCTATGGGGTAACAAACTTGGGTCTGCTATTTTATGGGAGCAGCATTCACGTCGACTTCAGGACATACATGCAATTGCGACCACAATTAAGATCCAGCAGGTAATTATTTTAATAGCAGGAGTGAGTGGGGGTAGGTAGCTTTTTATGATTTGATGTGCTGTTGGAGTGTGAAGGGATTCAGGGAAACTGGTAGCTGGACTTGAGTCCTGGAGGTGGGGAGTACAGTGTCTGCCCTCTGGAGAGATGTTAATGTTGTAGTTTTGAACTGTAATGGAAATATAAACACATATGCAGTTTAATGTGATCCTTTATTGACAACGTTTCGCCCACACAGTGGGCTTTTTCAAGTCACAAACAGATCTACCTGGGGTGGAAGGTACGTGACTTGAAAAATCCCACTGTGTGGGCGAAACATTGTCAATAAAGGATCACATTATACTGCATGTGTGTTTATATTTCCATTGTGTCGGTATTTTATACCATTTATTTCCATTTTGAACTGTAATACAGTATCATTAACCCTTTGAGGGTCGACAGGCCCTCTCCGAAACTTGTTCTCAGGGTCGGCCAAATTTCAGAAAAAAAAAATTATTTTTTCTTATGAAAAGATAGAGAATCTTTTCCCGATCACAGTGACACCAAAAGTATGAAATTTGATGGAAAACTTACGGAATTATGCTCTCGCGAAGTTAGCGGTCTGGACGATGTTTACGTATCGGCGATTTTGCCCACTTTGAGCCCTATTTTCGACCAATTCCAATGTACTAGTCGACAAAAACCATAATTATTTCGCTAGAACTCCATTTTTTCTATCGAATGAGTACAAGAAGCCACCCATTTACCAATTTTAACTATCTAATAAAGTGGTCAGAATTTAGCAATTTTGCCAATTTCACACAAATTTCAAGATGCCAATTTCCGAATAGGGTCCAGAATAAACAAGACAGACATTCCTGGCACTAAAATAACAAGTTCTCTGTTCGTTAGTCACATCCCCAGGCCTCTCTTATATTTCTTTGGCTTTCCACTTTGAATTTTTATTCTTACAAAAAATAGAAGATTTACTGTTATGCAGACTACTGCATTAGTGTAGAAATGGTATAAATAATATCAGCGCACTTGTGAAAGAATATTAGACTTGCCAGTTGACATGTATTGGACGCGTGGCACGATTTGTTTACTTTTGAACTTTGATAAAAATCGAACATTTCTGCTACTTTGCGCTCAATTTCAAGGTACTTTTCATTGTAAAACCAGTCAAAATCACCTCAATTTCTGTAATATGTCTTCCATTCTATAAAATGAGACCAAGAAAACTAGAATACAACAATAAATACCATACGAAAATACAGTGCAAAGTCGCTGTTTTATTCCAAAAACACGGTCAAAGTTTTTTTTTTCTCATTACGCACTGTGCTGCAGGATTTTTTTTATACTGTGCACACTGACCACATAGACCCATTCTTTCATATGTAGGCCTACCAGCTTTCTCTCATTAGATATGAAGGCACAGGAATTTAGGCGTACTAGTATGTCAAAATCCTTGGGTCGTAAGCCGTACTAGTATGGCCGAAACCCTCAAAGGGTTAAGCCTCTGGCAGAACAGTGATAAGAGTGAATGATGGTGAAAGTGTTTCCTTTTTTTTGGCTCCCCATGCCTCGGTGGGACATGGCCGATGTGTTAAAAAAATAAATTCTTCTTTGGTACTGTATTAGGATTTATTAGTACTGTACTGTATTAAATTTTGGAGTAAGTTTTTTTATTTCATGTGATGGTTTACCTGTGGTTTAATGTTAAAACCTTTTATTTTTCAGCCAGGTGATGACATGCATCCAACACTACAAGAAGTGCCTGAAGAATGTATACGAGAAATTTTGAAAAGACTCGACAACCATAATGACATTAGGGTAAGTATTTGTTATACATTTTACAGACTGAGAAGCATTATTGAATCTCAAGACCATTTTAAACCAAGCCCCAGGTACACCGAGCCCCAGGTACACCGAGCCCCAGGTACACCGAGCCCCAGGTGCACCGAGCCCCAGGTACACCGAGCCCCAGGTACACCGAGCCCCAGGTACATAAGTTATATTGTGCTGTTAAACTTATAATCTAACTTTCTTCTTTCAACACACCGGCCATATCCCACCAAGGCAGGGCGGCCCAAAAAGAAAAATGAAAATATCTCTTTAAATTTAGTAATGTATACATGAGGGGGTTATTAGCCCTTTGCTCCTATAATGTAACTATTCTCTCAATTATTTTTAGGCTTGTTTAATCTTAAGTCTGCCTGAAATATTTTGCATAGCTACAAATACAAATTTTTATTTACGTATCTATGCCATACAAATAGTGTAGCTAAATTGGTAGCGCACTGAGCTCACACACTGAGGTCCGTGGTTCGATCCCCAGTATGGATAAGAATGTTTCGACATGTTTCCTTAAGACACCTGCTGTTTCTGTTCAATTATCAGTAAAATAGTTACCTTAGGGGTTAGTTGATGGGTGTGAGTAGCATCCTGGGGACAATTTACCTAATTTGCAGGAAATGCTCAGCATAACAAAGAGCTTTCTATATAGTAGTGTCATTGATGTCAGTTATGGTCTGTATACCTTGTACATGTACAGTGGACCCCCGGTTAACGATATTTTTTCACTCCAGAAGTATGTTCAGGTGCCAGTACTGACCGAATTTGTTCCCTTAAGGAATATTGTGAAGTAGATTAGTCCATTTCAGACCCCCAAACATACATGTACAAACGCACTTACATAAATACACTTACATAATTGGTCGCATTTGGAGGTGATCGTTATGCGGGGGTCCACTGTACTTGTATACCTTGTACATGTACTTGTATACCTTGTACATGTACTTGTATACCTTTTACATGTACTTGTATACCTTGTACATGTACTTGTATACCTTGTACATGTACTTGTATACCTTGTACATGTACTTGTATACCTTTTACATGTACTTGTATACCTTGTACATGTACTTGTATACCTTGTACATGTACTTGTATACCTTGTACATGTACTTGTAGAAATAAAGATTATTAGTATTATTAGGGACAAAAGAAAGCCACTAATACGCACAGCATTTTGGGCAAGCTAATCCTAATGATAATCAATCAAAACAGTATACAAATCAGCCAGCCTTCTGTATTTCTGTCTCCATGTGGGTTAGTATTGAGCATTTTGACAGACTATTCAGTAGGAGTTCTTATGTAGCTAACTACAAACTTATGTAGAATAAGAAAGGTAGCTAGTGAACCAATGGTGCATTTTAGCACGACATGAGGCCCTGTTTTCGTGTGACACTCTAGTAAAGGATGCCAATGTTTTTGTTTAAAACTATTCTAACCTGGGAAGTACAGTGTCTGCACTCTGAAGGAGGGGTGTTAATGTTGTGGTTTAAAAACTGTAGTGTAAAGCACCCTTCTGGCAAGACAGTGATGGAGTGAATGATGGTGAAAGTTTTTCTTTTTCGGGCCACCCTGCCTTGGTGGGCCACCCTGCCTTGGTGAGCCACCCTGCTTTGGTGGGCCACCCTGCCTTGGTGGATCACCCTGCCTTGGTGGGCCACCCTGCCTTGGTGGACCACCCTGCCTTGGTGGGCCACCCTGCCTTGGTGGACCACCCTGCCTTGGTGGACCACCCTGCCTTGGTGGACCACCCTGCCTGGGTGGACCACCCTGCCTTGGTGGACCACCCTGCCTTGGTGGACCACCCTGCCTGGGTGGGCCACCCTGCCTTGGTGGACCACCCTGCCTTGGTGGGCCACCCTGCCTTGGTGGACCACCCTGCCTTGGTGGGCCACCCTGCCTTGGTGGACCACCCTGCCTTGGTGGACCACCCTGCCTTGGTGGGGCACCCTGCCTTGGTGGACCACCCTGCCTTGGTGGATCACCCTGCCTTGGTGGGCCACCCTGCCTTGGTGGACCACCCTGCCTTGGTGGACCACCCTGCCTTGGTGGATCACCCTGCCTTGGTGGACCACCCTGCCTGGGTGGACCACCCTGCCTGGGTGGACCACCCTGCCTGGGTGGGAATCGGCCAGTGTGATAATAATAAAAATAATAAAAGGAATGTATTTCTTTTTCTTTATCTCAAACTGATTCAATGATCTTCATTTTTGTGGACTGGTTCAATAGAGACGGTGAAGATACTGCAAGTTGCAATTGATGTACAATGCGCTTTACCGTGTATGTCAACTTTTTAATCATGCAATCTATTATACATATGTATTATCTTGGTAAATACATTCATTTGCTGTTTATTCTACCCCCTTACCAGGACGCTACTCTCAATAGTTGACTAACATCCTTATACATGACCATAACACATGACCATAACACATGACCATAATACATGACCATAACACATGACCACAACACAAGGCACAGATCACTCTTTGATGTTCCTCGTGTCCATCTCACGCTTTGCAAAAACTCAATGCACATAAAAGGCCCAAAAATCTGGAATTCATTACCTGTGAATATAAAAGAAACACTGTTTATAAATTCGTCTCTTCTCAAAAATCACTCACTCACCCTCAACTAAATAAATACTGAATAATTGTATCTCATAAATGTTTAACCTGTGACCCCAATCAAACTTTTTAACTTTTAATTACATTACCTAACATAATACTCCATTCTACTGATTACACAGCAACACAGTAAATGACCATATGACCTGTCTTTGAAATATTCATTTGTGCTTAATTGTTATCTGTTTACAGTAATGTTTTACCACTGAATATATCATTGCTTAGTTAATCTTAAGTTAATTTTAAGCTGCCCATAATGTGCTGCATACAAGGAGCTTTGGCATGTTGCACTTAACAACTGTATTTTTTGTACTTCTTTGTATCATGTTCAAATTAATAAATAAATAAATAAATAATACTTATTTACTGCAAGTTAGGTTAGGTAAGGTTTGCCAGGAAACAGGACAAGTGTTTCCTGATGTGGGAAATTGATGCAGGCATATTGGATGTTCTTAAAATCAAACTATCACTACTTTCAGGCTGCCGGGGAAGCATATAGTCTAATGGCAAAAGTAAGCGAAGAAAAAAGTATTTGGCGATTGCTGTGTCGGTTTCACTGGACACCAGCACAAATAGAACACGTGATTCTGATGCATAAAGAGTTACAGGTCCAGAAGAATTGGCGGAAAGTCTACGATAGACTCAGGAGGTGAGTAACAGTTAAAATTTAATACAGCCTCTCCTCAGTGACGTACTCGTTTACCGATGACTTGGACTTATGACGGGCTCTCCGACTAATATATTAGAGCTAATTTCCTCTGTTTTGTTTATTACAATATACAGTACACTACTGTATAAACATAAGAACATAAGAAAGGAGGAACACTGCAGCAGGCCTGTTGGCCCATACTAGGCAGGTCCTTTACAATTCATCCCACTAACAAACAAAAATATACCAGAAATGTTATAAATGGTGCAAAGATGACATTAAAACAATATCAAAGATGGCTGACACAAACCCACCACCATTATAGTGTGCTCCTCACTTAGCGACGAATTTGTTTACCGACGTGGTCTTAGGAACGGAACTCTGTCGTAAAGTGAGGAGAGGCTGTACTGCTGAATTAATGTTTCTGTTTCATTCAATCAAATTCCAAACAGTTTATCAGGTTTCTTAGGGGCTTGGACATACAGCAGGCATGTGTGAGAAAGATAGGAATGGAGATGAATGGTTTTTGGGGCTTGACGAGCTGTTGGAGCGTGAGCAGGGTAATATTTTGTGAAGGGATTCAGGGAAACTGGTTAGCTGGGCTTGAGTCCTGGAGGTGGGCAGTACAATGCCTGCACTTTAAAGGAGGGGTTTGGAAAATTTGCTGTTTGGAGTGACAACTGAACTGTTGCATCTGTGCACTTCTGCAAAGACAGTGTGTGTGAATGTTGGTGAAAGTCTTGAATAATGTTAAAAGTGCTTTTTTTTTGGCTCACCATGCCTTGGTGGGAGACGGCTGACGTGTTGAAAAAAAATCTATGCAAAATAATATAGACATAGATAATCAGAATTTTTTGTGTTGACAGTACAGTAGAACTCCCATATCTGCGGATTCAGTTTCCGCAGTTTCAATTATCCACGGTTTACCGTGGTCCAAAAATAATCCTTAATTTTGCTTAATAATAACACCAAGACATCAAAGTAACGATGATGGTGGTAGTTCCTCAGATCCTGAGAGAAACTGTGAAGTGGTGTCCAGCAGTGAAAAAATGCTAATTCTCATCTTATTGTGCATAATTTATTAATTAAACTTTATCATAGATATGTAAATGAAAATAGGCATATACAGTGGACCCCCGCTTAACGAACACCTCCAAATGCGACCAATTATGTAAGTGTATTTATGTAAGTGCGTTTGTACATGTATGTTTGGGGGTCTGAAATGGACTAATCTACTTCACAATATTCCTTATGGAAAAAATTCGGTCAGTACTGGCACCTGAACATACTACTGGAATGAAAAAAGTTCGTTAACCGGGGGTCCACTGTATAGGGATCAGTACTATCCGTGGTTGGTCTTGGAATGTGTTACCCGTAGATATGGAGCGACTACTTGTGGCTAAAGCTCCCGCTTCACACATGGAGGGCTCGGGTTCGATTCCCGGCGGGTGGAAACATTTCAACATGTTTCCTTACACCTGTTGTCCTGTTCACCTAGCGGCAAATAGGTACCTGGGTGTTAGTTGACTGGTGTGGGTCGCATCCTGGGGGACAAGATTGAGGACCCCAGTGGAAATAAGTTAGACAGTCCTCGATGACGCACTGATTTTCTTGGGTTATCCTGGGTGGCTAACCCTCCGGGGTTAAAAATCCGAACGAAATCTTATCTTGTCTTACTGTATATTAACCCATAAATGGTCCAAACGTATACATGTATATATGTTCTCTCGCATAGTGCCCCTAATTTTTTGAGAAAAAAAAAATAGTTTTTTTTAATAGGAAAAAAGAGCATATGGTACCCAGGCGTCCCCAATTATTTTAATATGGCACACAGTGAGTGTGCACACCCATTCTCTCATGTCTAGGTGACTCAGGCTTATCATGGCAATGTTGAATGTATGACAAATAAAACATATATATACGTTTGGGACACTAGCGGTAAAAACGTATGTATACGTTTGGACCGTTAACGGGTTAATAGCAATGACTCGGCTACACTTGTGTGACCATGAAGAAAAGCACCTTAATGCTGGAGGGCTCCTGATCCAGAGAACTAGATTTACTCTTCCCTTCCTTGGATTGAACCTGATCGCCTCACATTACCCAGTCACTACATGACCAAAATGGTTTTAGAGCACTAACCTCTGATTAGAGTAAATAATTACTGTACATGTGGGTGCCGCACACAGCACTGTGAAGTGCTGATTTGGTTTAAGCAATGTTCCTTATGGGAGCAAATTCGTTGGGTATCAGCACTCGAACAGCCTTCTGGAACAAAATAAGTTCGGACCCCAAGGTACCACCGTACTGTGCTTACAGTCTACTTAAACCTAGACATAGGTTATTGAGTAGCATAAGAATGTAAATTTAAACATGAAAAATGCTGAGGAGAATTACATCAGTAAAAAGATCCCTAGGTTAAACCACGGTACGGGTGGGGATTGAATTCGCGGCGAGTGAGTCGTAAAACTCAATGGTTTGTTTGCTATCGTGGCATTACGATTTTGTGAGTCATCCCTAGGTTATTTTTCTACATGATTTCACCACAGTTACATTCTCAGTTGCAAATGGTGGTGACCTGTGGCCTGGAAGGCAACACTTTAGCCTCACACATGCTGAGTGTCCATGGATCGATCCCTGGCAAGGGTGGAAACATTGGACGTGTTTCCTTACACCTGTTGAACATGTTCACCTAACAAGTAGGTACCTGGGTGTTAGGTGACTGGTGTGGGTTGCATCCTGGAGGGACAAGACTAAAGGACCACAATGGAAATAAGAGTCCTTGATGACACACTGACTTTCTTGGGTTATCCCAGGTGGCTAACCCTGTGGGGTTAAAAATCCCAGCAACATCTTATTATAATGAGTTGGAACCCTTACAGGAGGTTCCTTGATGCTGGTGAGAGGGCTCTTGATCTAGGGAATTGGATCTGTGCTCCTTTTCCTTTGATTAAGCCCGAATTCAATCTACAGGTGCTGCATAACCCATATGGGTTTAGTGTTCCCCCATGAATAATTAATGAACTGGAGTGCAAATGGCATTTTTTCCTTATAAATTCCAAATGTGTTAAATTGTAGACAACAAAGTAATGGCAGGAGTTATTGTATATACAGTGGATCCCCGGTTTACGATCACCTCCCAATGCGACCAATTATGTAAGTGTATTTATGTAAGTGAGTTTGTATGTGTATGTTTGGGGGTCTGAAATGGACTAATCTAATTCACAATATTCCTTATGGGAACAAATTCGGTCAGTAATGGCACCTGAACATACTTCTGGAATGAAATAATATCGTAAACCGGGGTCCACTGTACAGTGGTACCTCAAGTTACGAACTTAATTTGTTCCAGAAGGCTGTTCAAGTGCCGATACCGAACAAATTTGTTCCCATAAGGAATAATGTACACTTACATAATTGTTCAAGTTGGGAGCTGTACGAATCTCGGGGTACCACTGTAGTTTTAAATGCACTTAGTTGTATAGTCTGTATTTAAACTGATTGAAAGATTTTTTCCTTCAACAGGACTATAAAAATAATTTTTCCTTCAACAGGACTTACGGACTGCGAGAGGAGTACGCAGAAAAACTTTGCCTCTGTCGCAATTGTAGCTGCATGTTCTGGGAAACCTATGGACATCCTTGTCGCAATGACACTGACCCAAGCGCCACTATTGAAGACCACTTAGAGGAAGTCAAATCTGATAGTATTATTTACATTTCTATAACACCACAGCAATTTCTTAAATATTTTCATCTGTAGTTTACGTTAGGTGTTGTAAATATGTGGTAGAAGTCGGTGATATTACTTTTAGTTCGGTTTATTTAAAAACGTTATATCTGGAAGAATTTGAAGTTTATAGACTTGAATGGAAGAAAATATACCTTTGATAAGTTCCGAGAGTTTTTCTACTCCCGGAGCCTGGCCGTAGGCTGTGTTTAGGATGGTAAGAGGAGGAGAGGCGGCGTATTTAACAGCTGATGTACAGTGATCCCCACAAGGGAGGTTCCTTGATGCTGGTGAGGGGCTCTTGATCTAAGGAATTGGACTCGTCATCCCTTCCTTGAATCGAAACTGATTGCCTCCCATTTTCCAGGCTCTATACGATCCACACTGTGCTGTATGACCCTTGTAGGTCTAGCGCTTCTTTTTGATTATATGATCCGTACAGATTAAGCACATCCCAAAATATAACACTGTACACACAAGGCGCTCCCTGAAAAAATTTGGCAAGTATTAATTTTAAAGAACCAAGAGAAAGTTCAAGGTTCACAAAACTTAATTTGTAAACTACTAAATAATTTTATCACTCAAATGTTGTTCCATACAAAACTTCTTTAGTTGTTTTAGTTTCATGTGTGTATTTAACCAGACACATGAATACATGTACAGCTGTATATTCATACAGCTGTACAATACACAAATAACCCAGTATAGGAGAGAACTTACCAAGCCTGGTCATGGACCGGGCCCCAGGGGCGGTGACCCCCAGAACATCCTCCAGGTATACCACGTTTCGATCTTACTTGGACCGTGACTTTATAAATGGTCCAAGTTGGACCAAAACATCATCATAAATGGGAAAAGTTAGCCAAATCATATTGATTTTTTCAAGTAACAGATATGCATATTTTACATTTTTTTTTTTTAACAAGTCGGCCGTCTCCCACCGAGGCAGGGTGGCCCACCGAGGCAGGGTGGCCCACCGAGGCAGGGTGACCCACCGAGGTAGGGTGGCCCACCGAGGCAGGGTGGCCCACCGAGGCAGGGTGGCCAACCGAGGCAGGGTGGCCCACCGAGGCAGGGTGGCCCACCGAGGCAGGGTGGCCCACCGAGGCAGGGTGGCCCACCGAGGCAGGGTGGCCCACCGAGGCAGGGTGGCCCACCAAGGCAGGGTGGCCCACTGAGGCAGGGTGACCCAAAAAAGAAAGAAAATCCCCAAAAAGAAAATACTTTCATCATCATTCAACATTTTCACCTCACTCACACATAATCACTGTTTTTGCAGAGGTGCTCAGAACACAACAGTTTAGAAGCATATACGTATAAAGATACACAATATATCCCTCCAAACTGCTAATATCCCGAACCCCTCCTTTAAAGTGCAGGCATTGTACTTCCCATTTCCAGGACTCAAGTCCGGTTATATAAAAATAACCAGTTTCCCTGAATCCCTTCACTAAATATTACCCTGCTTACACTCCAACAGCTCGTCAGGTCCCAAATACCATTCGTCTCCATTCACTCCTATCAAACACGCTCATGCACGCTTGCTGGAAGTCCAAGCCCCTCGCCCACAAAACCTCCTTTATCCCCTCCCTCCAACCTTTTCGAGGACGACCCCTACCCTGCCTTCCTTCCCCTACAGATTTGTACGCTCTCCATGTCATTCTACTTTGATCCATTCTCTCTAATTGACCAAACCAACTCAACAACCCCTCTTCAGCCCTCTGACTAATACTTTTATTAACTCCACACCTTCTCCTAATTTCCACACTCCGAATTTTCTGCATAATATTTACACCACACATTGCCCTTAGACAGGACATCTCCACTGCCTCCAACTGCCTCCTCGCTGCTGCATTCACAACCAAAGCTTCACACCCATATAAGAGTGTTGGTACTACTATACTTTCATACATTCCCTTCTTTGCCTCCATAGATAATGTTTTTTGTCTCCACATATACCTCAATGCACTACTCACCTTTTTTTCCTCATCAATTCTATGATTAACCTCATCCTTCATAAATCCATTCGCTGACACGTCAACTCCCAAGTGTCTGAAAACATTCACTTCTTCCATACTCCTCCTCCCCAATTTGATATCCAATTTCTCTTTATCTAAATCATTGGATACCCTCATCACCTTACTCTTTTCTATGTTCACTTTCAACTTTCTACCTTTACACACACTCCCAAACTCATCCACTAACCTTTGCAATTTTTCTTTAGAATCTCCCATGAGCACAGTATCATCAGCAAAAAGCAACTGTGTCAATTCCCATTTTGTATTTGATTCCCCATAATTTAATCCCACCCCTCTCCCCAACACCCTAGCATTTACTTCTATTACAACCCCATCTATAAATATATTAAACAACCATGGTGACATTACACATCCCTGTCTAAGACCTACTTTTACCGGGAAGTGGTCTCCCTCTCTTCTACACACCCTAACCTGAGCCTCACTATCCTCATAAAAACTCTTTACATCATTTAGTAATTTTATTTTTATTATTATTACACTGGCCGATTCCCACCAAGGCAGGGTGGCCCGAAAAAGAAAAACTTTCACCATCATTCACTCCATCACTGTCTTGCCAGAAGGGTGCTTTACACTACAGTTTTTAAACTGCAACATTAACACCCCTCCTTCAGAGTGCAGGCACTGTACTTCCCATCTCCAGGACTCAAGTCCGGCCTGCCGGTTTCCCTGAATCCCTTCATAAATGTTACTTTGCTCACACTCCAACAGCACATCAAGTATTAAAAACCATTTGTCTCCATTCACTCCTATCAAACACGCTCACGCATGCCTGCTGGAAGTCCAAGCCCCTCGCACACAAAACCTCCTTTACCCCCTCCCTCCAACCCTTCCTAGGCTGACCCCTACCCCGCCTTCCTTCCACTACAGACTGATACACTCTTGAAGTCATTCTGTTTCGCTCCATTCTCTCTACATGTCCGAACCACCTCAACAACCCTTCCTCAGCCCTCTGGACAACAGTTTTGGTAATCCTGCACCTCCTCCTAACTTACCACCTATTCCATATACTACTTGTAACATCTGCCACATTGCTCCCCTATCCACTCTATCATATGCCTTTTCTAAATCCATAAATGCAATAAAAACTTCCCTACCTTTATCTAAATACTTCTTCTTCTTCTTCTGTTGGGGTTTTCAGGGCCACTGACAGCATACGCTGTATCGAGCCTGGCCGTCCAGTGCTAGGAGAGGGAATATCGACCAAAGTGGAAGAATGTCTTGACTAATATCATATGTCTCTGATATGTCCTGAAGCCAGCAGGAAGGAGCAGGTACAAGCCAATATCTCCTGACGGTCCAGAGGGCGAAACCCCTCCTTGTTGAGGAGGACAGGTAGAGTGAAAGTGTGCACCCCAAGTGTGTGCAAGGCCGCACGGAGAGTAGTCTGTGCAGAGTGATAATGTGGGCACCACAGTAGGAAGTGTTCCACCGTCTCAGGCTGTGAGGGACACCACTGGCAATATGGAGAGTCCATCATCCGAAGGCGATATAGATGAGCCGCCAGTCGTGAGTGCCCGACTCGGTGAGTCAGTACAACGTCCACCGTGCGGTTGGGATGGCGAGCCCAAGGGCAGGGACCATTAAAAGTTCGGACAGAGCCCAACGCCGAAGAAGAGAGGGAGTGTGCAAGGCCCTCTTACCACTGATGATGGATTCCCTTCTAGACAGCCCTTGTGAAATCACTATGGCCCAGGGCAAGAGGGGTAACAGTAGGAAGTAGATGCACGAGGGAGGCCGCCCAATCTGCCACTTAATTTCCCCTGATTCCAACATGGGCGGAACCCACTGAAAGGAGATGCTCCAACCTGGGCTCCGCAAGAAGCGCAGGAGAGATTGTGTCTGATGAACAAGGACGCGCAGTGATCGTGGACAGGCAGAGCACAAAAGTGCCAGGGAAGATTGGGAATCAGAGAAGAGGACCAGTGGTTGTGGGGAAATGTGATCTAGGACAAAAGCCAGAGCCTGGTGAATGGCGAAGAGTTCCCCTGCCAGAACAGAATGAGCAGGGTCCAACCGCCACGTTTGACACAGGGAGAGATTAGCGAAGAAGGCCACAGATGATGTAGAAGGGGGGGAGGACCGTGCCGAGCCATCCGTGTAGACGGAGAATGAAGAGCCATATGTAACAGAGCAAAACTTTTCAAACAGAAATGCAACTAACTGAGGGGGTTCCCTGTTCCTGTAATGCCAATCCAGGTGGATGTATCATGTCAGGTCATATATGCGCTTCAATGTAAACACTTGATCTACACATCCCCTACCCACTCTAAAACCTCCTTGCTCATCCGCAATCCTACATTCTGTCTTACCTCTAATTTCTTTCAATTATAACCCTACCATACATTTTCCTGGTATATCATAAACTTATTCCTCTATAATTTTTACAATCTCTTTTGTCCCCCTTTCCCTTTATTTTAAAGGGACTATACATGTTTCTGGCAATCCCTAGGTACCTTCCCCTCTTTCATACATTTATTACACAAAAATACCAACCTTCTAACACTATATCCCCCCCTGCTTTTAACTTTTTCTGTCATATCCCAATCAGTTCCAGCTGCTTTACCCCTTTCATTCTTAGTAATGCCTCACGTACTTCCCCCCACAATCACTCCTGTTCTTCTTAAACTCCTAAAAGATGGTATACCTCCCTGGCCAGTGAAATGAAATTACCGCTTCCCTTTCTTCGTCGACATTAAAAAGTTCCTCAAAATTTTCCCTCGCCATCTACCCAAAACCTCCATCTCCCCATCTACTAACTCCCCTTCTCTATTTTTAACTGACAAATCCATTCGTTCTCTAGGCTTCTCAAGGCTCAACATGGCCGACACGGCAGGTTGTGTAGTGGGCTAGCTGCGGGATTTTCAAGGATAGCTCCTGGTCAAAGAGGCTGACCAGGTCCCTACTTAACAGAACTCAGTGTGAATGCTTTGAGAAGATACCAGGCAGCGAACGGAAAATCCCAGTGCATCGTTTCCCAGCGTAAATAGTTGAAGTGTTGTGCAGTTTCAGAGGATTTGGTGTTGTCGCGGGGAGGGCGTGTGTAGTAAACAGTGACCCTCTCATAACGCTTCACACCTGCGCGTCTCCCCTGCCTCACCCCACCCAACTCCCACGCCACCCCATCTGTAGAGGGT